CCCCAACCAAAGAAGATAATCCAATTGCAACGATTTCTTGGTCTTACCAATTACTTTCGTAAATTCATTAATAATTATGCGTTTATAGCTAGTCCTTTAAATAACCTCTTACGGAAGGACTCTCCGTTTAAATTCGATGATAAATGTACTCAATCATTTGAGACTCTAAAGAATCAATTAGTTTCCTATCCAATCCTCCGGTTGTACAATCCATACCTTCCAACAGAACTTCACACTGACGCTAGTGCTCTCGCAGTGGCAGGAATCCTCATGCAAAAGCAGGACTCAGGTATTGGTATCCCGTGGCTTATTTCAGCCAGTCAACTAATCAAGCCGAGGCGAAGTACCATAGCTTCGAGCTTGAGATGTTAGCCGTTGTTCGGTCAATCGAAAGATTTCATATTTATCTTTACGGGATAGATTTTTCGGTCATCACGGACTGTCACGCACTCGTCTTTGCTATAAATAAAGCTCATTTAAATCCCCGCATCGCGAGATGGACTCTCAAGTTACAAGACTATCGATTTAAAATCATTCACCGCGAGGGACGCCGTATGCAACATGTAGACGCCCTTAGTCGCGTACCCCAAGAGGACATACGTTCAGTAGACACTTCTGATCGCGTCCTGCATATTGACTCGTTCCCGTTAGAGAAAGAATTACAATTCCGTCAACTTCAAGACGAAAATATAAAGACTATAACTCAGTCACTCGAAACAGGTGACAACGACAAATTCGAGCTCATAAATGGGCTTATATACAGAAAGTATTCGGGAAAACCACTTTTCGTGATCCCCGAATCAATGATTAACAAGATCATTCATATCTATCATGACGAGATGTCACATTGCGGTTTTGAAAAGACGGTGCAAGGCATTCTATCTCATTATTGGTTTCACTCTTTGCGTAAAAAAGTTCGAAATTATATCGACAATTGTCTGACCTGTTTGTTATTTAACACAGCGTCTAACACTCGTGAAGGTGAACTTCAAATCACGGATAACCCTCCTCGTCCATTCCATGTCCTTCATATAGATCATTTTGGACCAATCAATCCAACACAGGATGGGTTTAAGCATATTCTGGTAGTCGTTGATGCGTTTTCGCGCTTTACCTTCTTACAAGCCACCAAATCAACTGGTACAAAAGAGGTTGTAAATTATCTATCCCTCTTATTTCATATTTTCAGTAATCCAGGTATCCTCGTCTCGGACAGAGGTACCGCTTTCACATCTCATGAGTTTGCCTCTTTTATGAAATCTAAAGGCGTCACTCATACTCTCACAGCAGTCGCTTCTCCGTGGGCTAACGGGTTAGTGGAGCGCATAAACAGATTCCTTAAGTCTTCCTTACAAAAAATCGTGGATGATCTACAGATCTGGAACACGCATTTGAATGCGGTTCAATACACAATAAACAACACGTTCCACGCGGTGCTAAGAAATACACCGTCTAAAATTCTATTGGGATACGATTCCCGTAACCATCCCGATATCGAACTCATGCGTTTCCTCGAGAAACTCGCCGATACTCATTTAACTTTAGAAACCGATCGCGAAACCTGCCGCGAAATCGCTTTGCAAGCGACAGATAGTATTAAGAGATATAATAAGTCTTATTACGATGAAAAACACAAAAAGCCGTCCAAATATAAAATAGGCGATTTTGTTCTCATCCGAGATTCCACTCTGAAACCGGGTGAGGAAAGAAAGTTTAAACCTTCCTACAAAGGGCCTTATTTAGTAGCTAAAGTGCTAAATAAGAACAGATATGTCATTACAGACATTCCTGGGTTTAATATTACCCAAAAGCCCTATAATTCAATTCTCTCACCAGATAAATTTAAACCGTGGATAAAACCACTCGAATAATTAGTTCTTTAGTTATTGTTTCAGTAAACTTTCTTTTCCCCCTGAAAGGGATACCTTTATGTATTAATTTACAGTTATAATTATAAATCCACGTTTCGATACACGATACTTTTAAGTTGATTTCGTGGTTGATCCACAATTCTATTAAAGTTATATACTTCTTTCATACGTTTGA